GATTGAGTAAAAGGCTATTTCGATGTGCAGAACAAACACCAAAAAGCTATTTTTGAAGTGGATATAAGCAAATAAACAAATTTGCTATCCGTCGACTCATTGAGCATTGAATAACGTCTATTCAAACCGGTGATATACCAAATAAATCTACTGTTAAAACTAAGAAAGAAAATCAAGAAAGAAAATCAATAAGAAACTGTTTTTGAGGCTGGATTTATCAAAATATCACCATTATGTTGTTACTGAACTTAAAGTTTTAGATTGAAGTTATAATGGAAGTGAAAAATATTTGGAAGTTTGTGATGCTTTATTCAGATCTACCGTATAAGTGCGAGAGGTGAGAACTGTTAAAGATTTGTATCCTTCATTACCATAAATTAAACTAAGTTTCAAATTTATTTTTTTCCCTAGAACAAAAACCTTTGCAATTTATAGATCATAGCCTGGTTAACCCTAAACAGTTCTTTTTTCCCAAATAATTACACAAATTTAAAAAAAAACCCGATTACTGCACAGAAAAATGAAGCAGATTTTACCAAATTGTAACCAAATTACCTGATGTTTTTTGACATTCTGAAATAACTTCTCTTAGAACGACATAAAACTCTTACCCTTCTAGAGAATTTTTTAAATCTTTCTGGTAACGCAGCACTTCAGTTTACGTCAGTAAACTTATAAAAAGCAAAAGTTTTATGCCTTCAGATCACGAGAAGAAAATATTTTAGTTGACTACGATACCTTTCATACTTGACGATATTTAGAAGCAACAAAAGACGAAGTTTTGAGAGGGTTTTTCGCTATACCCGGAAATCACCACTTTGGGAGAGGAAAGTTCGCCCTCACCAAGATTTGTGACGACTGACAGAAAACGGCTGATTATACCCAAGCACTTAACTAGCTTTTGATTAGCTTTGTTGGCTCAATACGACGTTTTCGACCAAAGTTTCTATGCGTTCTGGTTCAAAATTTTCTGCTTCCTGTTTAGAACCCAAACTCAAAATTGTATACACCTAACGAAACAGTGACGCATCTTTCACCAGTAAATAAGTACGACATTCACCTTTCGAGCAAATGCTCTTTTCTCCCATCGGTGCAAAGTAACGACCAACCTTCCAGTAAATAGAACTGTTGAACAGCAAAAGTACGTAATAAATCTGCTGTTTAACGCCGGCTACCTTAATCTTTCGTTCTCTTTTCTCCCTCTATCATCTTCCGTATAAATCCACTAGCAAAACACTGGAACTTTTTAAAACTTATTGTTGACTCTCTGATGAAACTTGGCTTCTTATACCTTTCCAACCTGTTCATCACATTTTTTAGTTGTTGAACAACCGTTTAAGCAAGTGGCTATTTGCCTCAAGTTCACGTCAATCCAAAATTACATCACTCATAATGATCGGGTAGACCAAGTGTTTTCTTCGTGGATCGAAAGTTTCTTTAGTACTTTATTATTCACAGCCTATGTAACTGATTAAAACTGTCATTAGTTGGAATGAACTTCACTTTGTACTGAAAACTCTCATAGAGCGAATATATTCTTGAAAAGTAATATGCGTCCTCGTTTTCTTCTTCAATATCGAAAGATGAACAACATGTGGTGTCTGTGGGAGTAATCGACGTTTATGAGTCTCATGCTACGGCACTTCTAAATCGCCTGAAAAGATCCTGAATTTTAGCCAAGAAAAGCCGTTTGTTATTCATTTCCTTTGATAAGTTCGAGATAAAATAAACAGCAGACTTTGACATATAGAAGACGTGCTGCCCAACTTTATACACCCATACTTTAAAAGTAAGAAACCAGATTGCACTGCAGACCAAAAAATCGCATTTATTCGCAATAAATTCGTTCTACTAAAGTCCAGGAAATCGGCCTTGTCTCGGTTGGCAATTTGCCACCGGCATGTTTTTGTTGTTTGCAGAAAGATACAAAGTGGTTCCAGCGTAATCTTCTGGATCAGAAGTCTATCTCTTGTTTGCAAATTTTGTAAAATTGGCATTCTGATACCCGGTATATGCTATATTAATACTCTGTACTTACTTTAGGTTACATGAGAATTATTGTTCGCAGTCTTTGGAGTTCCGCTATTAAGCGAACAAAGAAAGTTGCTCCAACAAGCTATGGAGACACCGGTATTGTTGATTCTGACCGATATCGCTTGTCAATCAAGGCCGGATGTGGAGGTAAAGGACTACACAGGTAACTTACGCAACTTGTTAGTTTTTGTTTACTGTCTGAACTTTTTCATGAAGTTGATAGAAGTAGAGATGTGTACTAGATCAGCATATATAGCTAGCTATAGTACAAGAAAATAAACGGATACATAAGAGATTGTTTTGTTTTGATGTAGTCTAGATATAACGGAGTTGGTGGTAATGGAGGCAATGTGTACGTTGTGCCACAGCCCAAGCTTCTTTTTCGCCAGATTCATCAGCGTTTAAAAGGCAGGCACCTTGTTCGAGGAGGTAATGGAGAAAACGCTATAGAAACGAAATTGGTGGGCTCCAAAGGGACTGATGCGGTCAGTGGCTTAAACACGCTTTTGTGTAGGAATCAACCGTAGCTGTAAACTTCATGTAATATTTAATAAGTGTTTCAAATTGGCGTGAAGTCTTATGACTTACTTAGGTGTTATTTGCTATTAGACAGCTGATCATTTGAAATTGTCATTTACTGGATTGTTACTATTACTGTAGCGTTGAGTCTCTAGGTGATCTCTGTCCCTATTGGTATTGATGTCGTTAATACCCAAACAAATGTATTGCTAGCCAGGTGTACCAAACCATTTCATCGTTATTTGTTAGCAGAAGGCGGGCAAGGCGGCAGTGCTGAAACTGATTACTGGTTAGGCTTTTCTGATGTCCATGAGTCTTTGGCCCAAATTTCCCCCATCTTCATTGGGAATTAATCTGTATCTTATGTTTTTTCTTTCATTTTGCTTATTTGGAATTGATAAAAATTCAAATTCTTGATTTGGAGGAAGGGAACATATTGTTTATCTATTGTTTTTTCTTTTAATTTTCTGCTTCTTATAGTATCTATTTTAGCGGTTTGAAAGGTGATAGCTTAGTGGTAGATCTTCATTTGAAGCTTCGACCAAATGTTGGTTTAGTTGGTTTTCCGAATGCGGGGAAATCGACTCTTTTAAAAGCCCTTGCTCCTAAAAAAAATGTTTGTTTGTTATTGTTGTCTCTTTGACAGATTAGTTTTTTTTAGCAATTGTTCTATTTTACGAATACTAGTTTCTTGGAAGTAATACTTTATTTTTTATTGAATAACGTAGAAAAATTATTCCAGATCAAGATTGCCAGTTATCCGTTTACAACCTTAAAGCCACAGTTATGTTTTTTGGACAAACCACGTGAAACCTCCAGTGTAAATAATGAGGAGTTATATAGTCTTTCAGTTGCTGACTTACCAGGTATTTACCCTGAAACGTGTGCTTAACGCTTATAATAACTGCGTTAACTTTCCTAGAAACATTGAGACTTAGCGTGCAGCAGTCTTTTTAATAACCCTCCCTAACTGCACCTAGGTTCCCGGGTGGCAGCAGCTACTTTTTTTACTTCTATGTTGCTCTGGAAATATTTTAAAGAAAAAGAATTCGGTATCGCACTTAACCGTATTTCAGGAGTAATTGAAGGAGCAAGCAGCAATCGTGGGAAGGGGTTTGCTTTTCTCAAGCATTTAGAATATTGCGATATCATATTGGTTATAATTGATGTTCACGGCTTCCAACTTCATTCCTCTTTGAATTCACCATATAGGTATTATCAGTCGCTGGTGTGCTATCATCAGTTCTGCTCTCTTTTTTTTGCCTCAATTTTGCACTACTAGGATGTTGGGATTATGTTTTTGCTTAATTTTTTTCTCTGATTGTTATATTTCGATTTACATCTAGAACAGCTTTGGAAACAGTCGCTATTTTGAATGCTGAACTTGAAGCTTACGACCCTTCGTTAGTTCAAAAGCCATCTGTCATAGCCTTAAACAAAATAGACTTGAGTGATGGAAAGGAGGTTGGTTTTAAGATGTTTAAGTATGCATTGGCTTATTTGAAAGGAACCGTATTTTAAAATGCTTTAAGCTTTCATTTTTTGCCAAACTGTGGAAATTTCCATAATTCTACATCTCTCACAGGTTTAGGGATGAATTTTTTTTTTACGTGCTGCATTATTCCGTTTGTGTTGTTCTCTTTTTTCTTCTGTTTTTTAATTTTTCTATTTTAGAAGGCTGAAAGGCTTGCGTCAATTTTGAAAACTAGTGAATGGATAGGATCAATCTCACCAGATCTGCGTCCAAAGACTCTTTTGAACTATAAAGAAGTTGTTTCTATAAGCGCGAAGAATGGAAAACTTTTTAATCTCAGAAACGTTTTACAGAATATCTTCGATTCTCTTCATCCTTTGACCGACTTAGCTGACGATAATAATGACTCTGTGTCCAATAATTTGCCGCGACTTGTATGATCATTCGTGCTTGGGGTTTTTCAAAAATTTAAACCTGTCGCTTTACATATTTATTACTTTCTTTCTTCGGAAGCTGTTTTTTGTGATTCTTCAGAGGCTTTTCAAGCAGGTGTCAACCAGATTGGTTTCGGGACAGAATATATGCCAGTTTCACTATTCTTCCTGATTTGGAAGCTTTGCTCTTTATTTGAAAAGTTTTGCGTAAACTTCTCTTAGCATCTTCCACCGTTCTCACGGGCTGCATTGTCTATTTTTTTTTGCATTATTTTCTATGTCGAAAAATATTGGCTAAGAAATAGTGAATACTTTTCGTTATTTTGATTTTTAGGTGAGATGGTACTTGAGTATTATTTTTTTTAATCAGTCTTTTTATCAGCTGCTTCTTATGCTTTAAGTTCTTTTTCTAAACACTGGTAGTTTTACTTTAGAAGGGTTGTAAATTTCACTTTTTTTTCAATGATATTTGAAGTTCTTTGTTTTGCAATATATGCGTATATACAGTAGAGCGTGTCTCAAGTATAGCTATTTTAGTTGCAACGGCTTTTTAAAGTGGTTAAATAGTTCATCGTTTTCTGCTTGAGTTTCATTTTTTTAAGCTCGTTGAAAATTAGGAAAACATTCTAGCGTTTTTCAGATGTAATGATTCTTTCTTTGTCTTTCTGTTTAAACTGCAGAAAGTTTAAAACTCATGTTACTAGATCGTTTAATTAAAAAGTATTTGCCGCTGCAACGGAGGTACTTTTTAGTTAGGATTTGAATAAAAGTGCTTTATTGGTTGGGCCTTTGTCGGGTTTTGGTAGAGTCTTTTGACGTGAAATCTTCTGTATCGTCGCGTAGTTGTTAGTCTGCATTAAATTGTTGAAATTTTATTTCGTTTGTTTCTCCTTCCTCTATGGTATTGAACTTGTAAGTGCCGTGCAAAAAAAAAAAGTATCTTTCAAACGCTACTAAATGATTGTGACATCAGCTAAACTGCTTAACCTTGTCACGTATAAACTTTAAAAGTCGTGGCAGCATTTCCTTCTGAAGATTTGTGATGCAGAATTGAGCTTTTAAAGTGACTCAGTAAATTACTCAAAAAAAGAGTAGTTTTGACTATGGATCTTTCAGTCATTCGCTGTTTTTGAAAAATCTTGAGATTTTGCATGTGGTGAGAAATTGTTCTCAGTGCAAATAAGTTACAAATAACAGTTTTTATAATTTTTTGAGCATTGGGGAACCAAAAGCAGTGTGATACTGGTGTACAAAATTGCTCCCAGCTATTTTTCATTTTTTGGGTACTGTTGGGTATGAATGTCAGCGAATTCGGAAACTGAACATTTTTTGAAATGTCTGAGAGATTTCCGAGATTGTTCAGAAAGGTTGTCGAGAACCTGCAGTCAAACTGAGCAATGGTGCGACCATTAGCTGTTACTCCAATTTGCAATTTGCTTGTTTCCTGTCGGGGATTTGCCTAACGAATTAGCTGTTAAATTTTTAGGTACATCTTTCGTTGCTAACGTGTTTTTTATGTTAACGAATTAAGGGGGCTGCAGCAGTTATTATATTTAAGATTTAAAAGGAGGAGAACACTGAGTCGTTTTTTGAGCAATCTGATAAGGGAACAACTTAGTGTTCGTTCAGAGAGAAATCTTTTTGTTGTTCTCATCGGCGTTTTATCAGAAGGTTCAAGCGAAACACTTCTTCTCATGGAACGAAATAAGTTATAATATTGAATTATAATTTACTAAAATTTTAATGAGACATTCAAATATATCAACAGCATACGACTTTTTGGCTTGTTTTCTGTTCATAATGCTGAGTCGTTTACATTATGCATTATGTGTAAATAAGATGAACAAATAGAAGTCGGCGAAAGCAGTTGGTCTTTTATCTTAAGATTGGATTAGTATGTACTGAGAGGATTTGGCTTCTCTTACAATACGGGATGGGTTCAATTTAATTTTAAGGTGTAGGGAATCGTCGAACAGTTAACTTTAGTTTTGACATTATGATGTGATTTTTGTCTGAGTATTTTCTAAAGGATTTTGAATCCTGTGAACACTAATAAAAGTGGTTAATGACAATTTCATGTAAAGTTGTTCTTTATAAAAAAATTGAAAAATTTTCTTTTTACACCTAATGAAAAGCAACAGCCAAACTCCGTGCTATATTTGTCGATTGATTGAGGTGCTGAACACTTTTTCTTTCGCCAAATTATGCAGATCGTTCACAGAATGCATTTTAATTGGAAGATACATAGGATCATAAGTTGGCAGTATTCTACTGGAAATATATAGGTGACAAGAGGATGATGGGGATCGACGACTGCAATACGGCAGGGGATCAGCCGTAAAGCAATCATATTAGCGCATATGGTACATCGTTGTTCACTCACTGCTTCTTTTTTATTTATTTATCTATTTATTTATTTTTTTTATTTTTTATTTTTTTTCATTTTATTGTTTTGTTGTCATTTTTTTCGCTTTATTACTACTGTTTTTGAGTTATATGTATGCACAAATGTATTTTTTTTTTTTTTTTTTGATATTTTATTTAATTACTAAATTTGATGTTGCTCTTCTAAAATTTCACTTAAAAATCAATAAATGTCTGTTTCATTTACCTGCCTGAATTAGAACTGTGATTTTCGTCTATGGCATTCAGCAATGTAATTTTGTTTATTGTTTAACGATAGAAGAACGGGCAAACGACTAAAATTGAAACAAGAAAAAAAGCAGCCATGTTTTACAGCAGTTATCACATCAAAAGGGAGAAACAAATTTGGTATTTTGAAATAAATTTCAAATATAATTTTGCCAGTAAGTGTCCTGCAGTACAAATATTTGAATAAAAAAGAGGAAAGCTATTATCAACGCTTTGACAGTTGTCTGAAATACCAATTACAACTCCAGAATCCGCATTCAGCGTACTTGTGATCTGTTGAAATGGTGAGACAACATTTTTTTTCTTTGTATTTTAGCCTCTTTATTGAACATTGAATGAGCACAAGTATTTAGCAGGGGGAATAAAAAAAAATTTTTTTTGCTAAGAATAGCTACAATGTTTCGAATAATTTGAAGGGCAATTTGAATAATTGCCGGACTTTAGTTATACAAAAACCGGATGGACCGGTAGAAGGTAATTGAACCTTTAGATGTGAAATGTGCCTTTTTAAATTAGTTTACCTTCAGTCTCAGTTTTTAAGTGGGGGCTTTAAACAGTGATTGTAGTGGTTTGTCGGTCAGATTGTTTGATCTTAACAATTTATGCTCACTTTTTTCTTCTTTTTTGCTCATAAATCTCATGCACGTCTATTTGTTAATTTTAATAACAGTATGAAAGCAAAAATTTCTTTACATTTCTATTTTTTTTTTTTTATAATTGAAGAACTTTCAATAAGGTTTTATTAGTGGAGAGTAAAAGTGTAATTTCGGTGTTCAACAGGCGTCTTTACAATTTCTTCCGTCTTAAATGAGATCTATTGAAGATGTTTATTGTATTCTTCAAGGCTACGATAGGTTTTAAGCTACTGATGCGTTTTTTTTTCTTCTTTTTTTTTTACAGATAATTGTATTTGAGCAACAGTTGACTATCATCAGTTATTCTTCTTCGTTTGTAGCCCTGTCATTATCAGATAACTGTTTCCCCATTTCCACTAAGAGTATCTATTTGCTCGATGAAGCTTGAATTTTTGAGCAGCTTAAAGTGACGCATACTGTCAGAGTGACAACAAGTAAAAAATTGTTGGTATTTTCAGCAGTACTGCTGTTAGCCTTTTAATATTAATAAGGATTTTTTTGTCTGATGTGGCAACTGTTTTTTTACGCATTTTTCTTAAACTTTTTTCTTCTCTCAATGATGTATCATTATTATTTCATCTGACGTTAATAACTATTTCTTGTTTTTGTCTTTCATATCATTTTTTTTTTTTTTTTT